ATTATACTGTTCCTTTATTGTTGAGAGAGTGTCAGCCTCTTGTATTCTTGTAGCGCCACTGAGTTTTTTTTTTTACATACGCCATGCGTCATTTGATTCACGTTACTCCGCGGCCTGCATTGCTTTTGGTTCTGCTTGTGATGATGTTTGTGCTGTGATTTGTCGGCGGGTGTCTTGCTTTCAGTCTGACTTATCCTTCGTTTCTTGACGATTTGTTGCGTACCGACGGTGCGTGGGCGTCTCTGGTGATAGTGGGGGCCGCATGTCTCAGAGCGCAGGATGCGTCGCGGGTGTGCGGCGTCGTTTGGAAGTACCGATGGGTGACCATCCGCATCCAGGCGTCATCAACGGACTGTGAGGGCAGCAGGAGGTACTGCGGCTTCTTTTGGCTTTGCACAAAGAGTTTATTGGACGGTGCGTTTGTTTTCAATCTTTGCAGCTTTTGTGGGGAAGGTGGGAGGCTAAGGGCATTGGGACTGAATTCATTTGTGTGGCTGCATTCCGTTGACTTGCGGCCAGTCGTGGCACTCTTTTGGGGTTTGGCCGCTCGTCTCTTTTGTTTACTTCCCACCGCAGCACGTGGAGGCCACTGATCCGAGGAACATTTGTTTGACTGCGTGTGAGCTGCTGCCGTGCGTGCTGCATGGACTATGTGATTGTGTGGGGAGGTGCGTGGGGTGACGAATACTTCTTTTTGGCGTGTCGCGGTGTGTCGGAATGATGTTCGGATGACATGTGAAGGGTGTTGTTTGTGATTTGTGTGTCTTTTCTGGTGGAGCCGACATGTGTGCGGGGTTGTGGCATTGCTGGCTGACAGTTCCACGTCACTTTTCAGCATTCCTGGATGTGCCGAGGAATGACGGCTGGCGACCAGCGTGTTGGTGCTGTCGGTGGGAATAAGTGCATCGGGAATAGGCCGTTTTCTCTTTTCCTGTGCTGGAGCCGACGAACTGGCACGAGGGCACCGGCTGCAGGCTGGCTGCCAGCACGTGTGAGCAGCGGATGCACGCACACACCGACGCTCGTCGCAAGAGTTTGTGCGATCACAGTGGCATTCGTGGCGTGCTTTTTTGGACGTCAGCCCATCGAAGAATGTGTGAAGCAAACGGCTGACTGCACACGAGGAAAATAAGTGCGTGCACTGTGCCGTGTTTCAGCGTCGATGGCAGCGCGGCATGAGGCCCGTGCTGGCAACTGAGATCTTTGCGTCGCGAGGGATGTCGGTGTTGATTTTGGATTGTCGAGGGTGAAGTGATTTTGCTGCTGCCCGTGTGTGTGGCCACTCCGGCAGAGGGTGGACACAAAAGGGAGGGATGCAGGCGCTGCGTGTGTGTGTGCACGTGCCATGCAACAGCGTCACAATAAAAATGCTGCGACTCGGTGACCCTCACATCGTTGTTGTCCTCACGAGCAGCCGAGCCACGGCCCACACCGATGCACTTAGTGGACGGAGTGAGGCATCTTTTGATGTGCTGCAGGGAGCAGGATGTGTTGACGCAGCCACGACGTGCATGGAGTGTCACGATGGCACAGTGAGCTGTGGCTGGTGGAATATTTGCTTCTCGGAGGCAACAGAGAGAGAGAGAGAGCTGCTCCTGCTGCTGGCGTCGTTGCTGCCTTTTGTGGCCTCCCATGCCGATTATTGTCTG